ATTATAATATATATTATAATAAAAACATTTACTTAAATAATTGTTATTTAAAAAATATAAAATTTTATATCAATTAATTACTATATTCTTATTCTGTTTACCCGTTATAAAAAATGGATCCCGGCCCTTTAAGTCGGCTGCTTATATATTACTTTGCAACATAATTACTTACCACGTATACATATTTTTTTTAGTAATGCCTTACATCATTTTTTTATATATATACATTAAGAATTAATTATTCAGTATTATAAGTATTTAAAATTGTCTTAAATGAAGATTTTTAATTTAATAAATGCTAATTGAACTAAATTCTTGTTAATTAATAATATATATCATATTTCTTCTCAAACTCTTCTTTCTGGTACAATGAGAAATTTTTTTTTTAATTTTTACTTGAAAACAAGAATAGTAATATTATAATTATAATATTATATAAGATTATAAACTTATATTCATAGCGTTATTGTCAACTTATAAGTTTTTATAACATTAACAATTCGGGAAAGATTTTCATAAATGGATATGGTAGAAGTAACGATGGGAATATTAGAGCTTTGGTTTTCTTTGTAGTGGGTTGGTGTATTTGAATGTGGAGTAATAGTGTTGTGTATAGGGGACTGGGATGATGTAGGGCGGAAGGTAATGGATTTAATTAAAATAAAGACATTCATTTGGTTATAAGGTGTGGCAGGAGAATGTTCTTTTCTTGTAGGATTGGAGTGCACAACCACTTATATGTTGCGTGGTTATTGATGATAATCATGAGACCAGAAATGCATTTCGGAAATCTTAAATCTGAGTCATAGAGATAAAAATTAGTTTAAGTTGATGTTATGTTAGTTTTTATTTAAATTTATGTTGATGAATTAAGATATAATTTGAAAGAGCATTCTTTTATATTCTTATTAATATAAAATTTTAATTTAATTGAATAAATATAATATGATATTAAATAAATATATATAATATTATAAATAAATTTTTAAATAAAATAATAATAATATAACACAGTTAATGATTTAAATAATTTATTAAAAAAATTTTAAATTTAAGTCATATAATATATAAACAAAGTGTGTTAAATAATAAAAAAATATTATTTTTTATTTTATCATTCAAAATTAAAAAAAAAATTATACAACAATGGATTAACTTACAGTCCCACGTCACATTCTATAGCGTTTTCAAAACAAGGGCAAACCATTTTCTTCCGGCGCTAACGGTTTTAGCGAGTCCATACAAGGCGAGCATGTGACACGGTCGCCTCCCCCTAACATTATTTGATGTAACGTGATGCGTTGTCAAGACACCAATGGCCGTTGCGCACATCCTTGCACGATTATTGTTCACATGAAATATTATTTTTTTAGTAGTGTTATAGAAATAATTTTTTATATTATTTTTTAATATAATTTTTACATATTATTATATAAATTGATATATTTAATATTATG